GGGCCTCTTTCCTGATAGTGCGATACCACATTCAGGAGAAAAGGTTCTCTCTTCTAATAATTCCCCAGACAGATCCCATGGCTTCTCATGCGTCTTCTTCAGCACGAAGTTTTGCAGCGGCATTCGTTACTTTGACACCAAGCTGCTCCGCCTTCTCTACGATGGCCTTGCGCTTGCGGCTGCTTACGTTGTGTGCGATCTCGGCGGAGTATTTTCGGTTGTGCAATAGCAAAAGCTCGACCTCCTTCGGATTATTCACAACAAACTTGTAGAAGCCGTTGGGGAGGAGGTTTCTCGTCTTGGCGTCCGAGCCGTAGCCGATGTTGGGCATGAGCGTGGAGCCCTTAAACCGGCGGCGGGCTCGGCCGTCGATACCCTTAGGCTTGCGCCACGATGTGCGTGCGATGCGCATGAAGCGGTCGGCTTGGAAGCGCCCGAACTTCTTGGTCCGCTTCTTGACGATGCTCTTGGGCTTGACGAGGGGCGTGACTTTGGCCATGGCTGATAAGGGAGAAAGGTTTGCGCCCTGTGCGTCATGATGAAAACCAAGAGTGGTAAGAGTGAGAATATCCCTACAAGGAGCAACGGTAGCTCGTGGCAAGCGCGGCGCCACAAGATGTGAACAGTGGCCACATAGTGGGCGGCACGACCAACAAGAAGATCACGGTGGCAGTATCAATTGACAACGCGGTCACGTTTCGCTATGACGACAAGAGCACAACATATCGCCGCGACGCAGCAAAAAACGTCCACACGCTTGTCGCGCCCATGACAGTGCCATAGAAGAATCGAAGCGTCTAGGCATTATCCGTGCTAGGTTCCTGCCCATCCGTCACTAAAAATAGACATGGGCGAGTAGAGCCGGACGCTTCTCTCCTCCCGTCCGGAAGGGCTATTTTTCGTATATATAAGCATGGGTGTATATGACAAAAGACGCACGACGTAGCCAGGTAACTCTGTTTTTTCTCCCAGCCTGCACGTTTCCAACTCGTCTGCGCCCACAATGAAGACAACGACATGCTGATAAGCGCCATGCTGTCGGATGTAGGGGCCCTAGAGCGACAACGTTTGGAGAGAGCATCCTACAAAGAGAGTAGCAGGATAAACAAGGACACAATGGTCACAATAATAAAATGTACACATGAACAGAAAAGAATGTGCCGCGATTTCTTCGCAGTCCATAGTCCCTTGATGTGAGAAACGCTCAAACCACGAAAGGCTTAGCTTCTGTGCAGTAGTGATGCGTCCACGACCAGGGTACCGCATGACTCATCATAGAACCACAATCTGCTGCTTAAATCCTGTGAAGATACGATATGAGTCTGTTTCCATGTGCAATGTTGCCAGGCGGGGAAGCCATCGCACACTGAAGGCATCCCTTACATGAGTTTTACCTCCAGCCACCCAAAGACGGTTGGCAGGGGCCTTGCTCGCTCCTCGCGGATGGTGGACAGGACGGCGGAAGTTGGGGTCCACCATTCCCGTCCTGCGCGATCTAATATCCACTCGAGCACATGGGCGTACAATGTGTGTAGGTAGGTCATGCAGATCTGTGCACCTTGGACTGCTCCATCTCTGGTACTTTAAGTTGACTAGCATAAGCACGACGGACAAGAAGCTCAAGCGGGGGGGGACGCTCGCCTCCGGGTCCACAACAAGCCAAGCTCCCGGTCTACAGCCGGAATCGCCGCGATCAGCTCCCCTATCCCCCAGAAGCCTACCTACTTTCAGTCAAGTTTTATGGAGGTGAATGCCACGAACAGATTCTAGGGAGGGTATAGAAGCTCGTGACAAGCTATAGCAATCATTTATGCTCCGAGATTGGGACTTGAAACGCCCAGTTTCAGGTTTAATTTTTTAATTTAAGTGGTGGCTCAATCACACGATACTCATTGTCTACTGCTCTTCCAACTGTGTCACGGTGCTCCGCGTCCCCTTTGCCGACAAGCAAAACATCTTTGCGACTCTTTTGTTTTGGCGCTGGGCCATCAATGCTCGCCCTGATGTATTTAAAAAATCTTCCGAATTAAATTGAGGGGTACAATCTGTAGTTATTTACGGCTTTTCTTTATTCTCATGGTGATACGTAGAGTATTTGTACGATGAGACAAGGTGAAATTCGCTTGCTATTTTAAATGTTGGACAATATATTCTGCTAGTACGCTCCGTCAGGTATGAAGAGGGGAATTAGCTCAGATGGTAGAGCATCCGCTTAGCGTGCGGAAGGCAGTCGGATCGATACCGACATTCTCCACGGCGGTTCACGCTGAAACATTTTTTACACGTTGCATAACGACGACACGCCTGGAATGAAATGTCTTTTTGCTGGCATTTTGCCAAATTTGCCCGTAATCGTTGAGGAGTGGATCAAAGGAAAAAAGATTATAGAATTTCTTTTGAAAGTTTTTCGTATATAAGCACAAAAAAGTGTGGAGAATCGGGGAATCGAACCCCGGGCCTCGTCCTTGCGAAGGACGCGCTCTACCATAACTGAGCCAATTCCCCACTGACGTCACAAAACACCGGAATCTGGACCGCTAGAAAAGAGTGTGTACGTAGAGGAGATCCCAGGGTTATTTCACACCTTTCTTGTTTCACACATTCCTCGACTGTTAAAACACGACAAGAGATAATGTAGGAGTAAACATCACACTGTCATGAAGCTCTTTTTATCTTGAACAAATATTTTCTTTTGTGCGATTCATGTATTTATACAAATTTTTTTAATGTTAGGTGAACGAGAAGAAAAGTGGTTTTGGCCCATACGTCTGTACGCCTCGCTTGATAAATTGAAGCCAAATGCAAACGAGCCATCAAACTACAATCCCGATCATATCTTGTTAGCCAATGGTAGAAAATACGGTCTTGACGTGCCTGTCAGCCGCATGGCAACATGGCGTGCAAGCTGGGGCGCTAGGTCACAGAAGTCGTTGACGTCCCCCAAAATTCGGGTTGTTTCTATGTTTGTGTTTTTTCGTGGTTTTACCCATTCCTCCATTTATTCAGAGCGGCTTGTCCACCGTATTTTGTACATTCATCTATCAGCCAACTAACCAAGTCAGCGCAATAGCAGAGCTACGCAAGCGGAGCGTGGCTTCTTCCTCAAAGTCCAGAGAGAGAGCTGGGAATACAATAATATACATGCATGAGAACAACTCAACAAAGAAACAAATGAACGTGTTGACCCACTTTTCAGATTTCAATATGACTTGAAGTTAGTGGAGAACTTAGACACACACAAAATCCTTAGGGCCAACTTTACGATGATACTGTTTTGCGTACATTGGATATTTCTAGTCTCCATCAACTTCAATGATTTGACAATCCGTCCATATTCCTGGTGTACTAACAACATCCAACATTGCCTTAATTTCCACACACTTATTCCTTTCCCCTGTACGCTCCTCAACAACACTTTCTCCACTCATCCACCTCAACGATTGTCTACTATAACGGTGTAAGCATCCAGATAGCGATAACGAGGGCTCACTTCCTACAGCAGCTCCGTAGGTGAGGTCAACATCGATCCATAGGGCTAGAGCATGTGCATTACCGGCCCTACAAAATGGGACATGTATCACATTCCTGCGGTAAGCTCCGTCGTGTGCTTGAGAGGCTGTCCAATCAATTGCGTGGTGCAGATCCATGCGCATAAGAAGTGCTGGTGGTGTCAGAAATCGGTGTGGATAATCTGCCAGAGACACCGCTACATCTTTATCTTCGTCGAAAACTGCGCGAGAAGCTGCTTCACTCATTGCACGACGAAATGCAGTATGATCCCAACCACCCAACTTTTCCTCGTCGATGGGATTTCCTCCTCCATACACCCGAAAGAGTGAAGGGCATTCAATAACGGAAGCCATGAGTCGCACTTGAAACGGCAAAATCACAACATTACGGGCAAGAATCGGTGCTAAAGCCGTTCGCAGGATCCAAAAATTTAGCCAACTCCATATGGGACGATTGACTCCAATATTCGAATAATATCCATCGCCACAAAGGACTTGAACATCTCCCCAGCAGACCGAGTCCCAATTCTCGCCCCTCCCTGCACCATGCCATATTTTAATTTGCGGTATCTCATGAATGGCATGTAATGCATTCCGACATTCTGCTTTGAGCAACAAACAGCTTTTTTCCAGCATAGCACCATGCCAAACATCTTCTTCAAGGCTAACCAAATTCAAATGGTGCAATCGAGCTGAGTTGCTGGCAGTTTTCCATCCTTGAATCATGTTGAAGAGTGTCATTCCTCCATCACAAATGTCCAGGATTGTTTTGATCTCTAGATCTTTCGCATCAAGTATGGTCCGCAAACACTCACTATATGCTTCCTCTCGGCGAGCATCATTTAGTTCTATAATCCGTTCACTAGGCAAAAAGGTATGGAGTCCACAAAGACATGGATGAGGACCTTCACGCAATCTTTTGAGAGATTCATGTGGAGTGGATCCTATCTCTATCCAGATACTCCGATCATGATGAGCACCCTGCACGTTAACTTCTTGTGAAGGAGTGATATCAAACGGCAGGGTTATAGGCCAGATGCACGGCTTCCAGTGATCTTGCCATAAAGGATCAATATCTATATCGCGAGGCGCGCTCGAGTATGTCTCAACACCATCGGAACAAATGAGTTCCCACCACATTAATGCCCCTTGGACACTGCCTGCGCTCAAATCGGGACTGCTAGGTTTGGACCCACAATGATCGGCCCATTTGACGAGTCAACTGAGCTTTTTGATTCCGCTGCCGCTGCGGCGAAATCAATTTCCAATAATATGAAAGGCGCTGATAATGCCTTGCTGGAAATTGGCCCTCCACTTTTCTCTCCGAGAATCTCCCTCTTTTTTCGAGAAAGTATCGACAATTTTGGCGATGAAAGCGTCTTGTCTTCAGCCCAGTTATTGGCCTCGTCATCTATATAAGGTAAAGAAAGATGGAGTGGTTTGGGTCTCCCGTCCCCCATGCATGTTACATCAGCTGATGGGATGTTAAAATGACTCTGAAGCTCGGGACACTCTACCAACTGCGCCCACACCCGAGCGCGACGTGGAATAACATGTGTGGTTGCGTCGACCAAGCCACGGGTATAAAGATCGCGAAGAGTGCTTAAGTAGCCCTCTCCTAAAAGTGTGGAATCCAGGATCTCAGCAACAATAAGATCAATGCTTCCAATTTCTTCTTCGTCCAGCGCTGAGCTCATTTTATGGACGACACAAATGTTCCTCTCCAAGCCAGCAGAACGAACTACTTCATCAGCTACTTTTGCTAGAGCTGTGAAGCCATCACACGCTGTCACTTGAGTCGCTCCAGCTCGTACAGCCTCCAGACTCAATAAGCCAGTACCGGTCCCGATATCTAGGATTCTGATATCTTTATCACCCTTTTCCTTCATTTCCACTTTGTCTTCATCAACCCGCTCTTTGATTATTCCAATGGATTTCCAAATCGCACGCTTGAAGATATTGTATCGATGTAAATCGTGCAGCATTGGAGGAAACCAACATCGAAGATTCAATAAACACAATGAATCACTACGCCCTTCCATGTCTGTGTAGGGTCGCCATGTAATTCCACCTGCCTCCGGATCTAAAGAAGCATGAAGTAAAACCTCTTTTTTCGTCCCGTCCTCCCTAGTGACTTCACCAATCAATGTATCATCAGCTTTTCCACTGTCGAGTCCATCGATCCCATGAATACTGTCAACAGGATGCACGAGCGCATCACGAGTTACTTCTGCTCTTTCATCTTCTTCGACTTCAAAAACTGCCACTTGTGCATGCCGGGAATAAAGAAAAGGAAAGACGATTTTGGTGAGGCCCCCAAAAACTGGAAAAGGCTGAAAGTAAAAAATAAGAGTGAAACAAGCATTTACCTGGCAGAAAGTACTCATCGCGGCCATGCCAATACCGTCGGCGGAGCCCTTTCCATGAATTGTCATCTGATGCCCCCCCTTCGATTTCCACATTTGCAAAGTCGACAGAAAATTTCAAAGCTTCCAGCTCTAATTTGACAAGTTGACAGGCAACCGCATGAAAAAAAAGGTTGTCCGGGCAAAGGCCTGTGAAAAGGGTGCACAGAGCCCCAAAAGAAAATGAATTCAGGAAGTTTTAAATCACGCAGCCAAAATTTATAAGGAGAAGCGCAGGTTTTGCGGTCACTTAATTCGAAACGAATAAGCACAAAATTTGAATGCGAGCAGCTTACCATTGAAAAAGGAGTAAATGCCACCAGGCCGCATAACTTTTGGAAGCCAAGCATGGAAACCCTGCATATCTCGGTAATGTTCGGCGTACGTATCGAAAAATATACCGTCAAACTTTTTTCCTTGAGCTACGAGCCGCGGCAGCACATTTTGCCATCGTCCAGTTTCAATCGTTACTCCTGCTTTCCGATACCAACCATCTGTCTTCATCTTCTCCAAGACCATAGGGTGAGCCTCGATGATTGTGTGAGACCGACACTTTCGCCGCTGAATTGCCCGATCAATGATGCCAAGTCCAAATCCCACGTTCAAAATATCGCGATTTCCATCATCCCCGCAAAGAAAACTGGCGTGCGCCTCCATTAGCGGCGCCTCCCATTCCATCATAACACCTTCGTCGACCTGGTCGACTAGGCGACCTCTCTCATAGCGCACGGTACCTCCCAAATAATCATGAGATTCTCTCTGTTGTTCGAGAACGTTTGCCTTTGCAGTCTGATCTTCCACGGTGCCCAGCAACATCTCAGCCATGACGGCGTGATTAAGGATGAAGTCGATAACGCTTTGCTTGCGATTGGCATCCCCAATGTCACAAGCGATCGCGTATTCCCCTGCGCATTTGCCATGACGATCTACGGCCATCCATGGTGCACCAGCTGCAAGCAATATCTGCACTATTTCAAGATGTGCGCCCCTGGCAGCGTGCATCAGCAGTGATGTTCCTTCCTTCTCCTCCTGATAGTGCGGTGGAAAGCCAGCAGCAAGCAGAGCTTCCACATCCTTCGCTTTTCCCTCAGCGCATGCTAAAATCATTAATTGTGCATTTCTTTCTTCTTCGAGAGAATTACTCCGTGCATCTTGGTCCATCTTACCACACTCGTGCACCCTGTAGAATGATAAGGATCATATATCAAAGATACTTTATCGGGTGCTGATAGAAGATATGACAGTATCCGACTATAAAGATTGACTTTTGCCTTGCTGCTTTCCGGCAACGACCTTTTAACAACAGATTTGAATATAATGCCTGTCTACGCTGTGAAAGGATGGTTTGAGACTGGGCGCTTTCACCTAAAGTGGCCATCGTCGCTGAACACTCTCGCGGCAGGAGCGAGTTGATGTTGATCTTCGTGGGGCATGTCGAAATGGCTCGAGGGAAGTTTCAAAATGGGTGCCTGGCCTGTAGCATTGAATCCGTGGCCTCCTATCTACACTTTCGAGATAAATGAGCTGTATTACCTGCCGCAGACGTTGCCAAGACCTGACAAATCGATCGCGCCGAAAGGGCCCATTCGGACCGCGGGTCGTAAAATATCTGCCCTACAAGCATAGAAGAATAGTTACTTTGTGTCTTGTCGTGGAATCTCGAGGCAGTAATACACTTAAGTTGTTGACAAGGGCTGTGAACTTTACGGATGGATAATGAAGAACTTCGTATCTCGAAAGAAAGGAGCGAAGAACGCCACATGTGAAAAGCGACATTATGCGGCTTGACACTAGGTCTAACTTTGCTTTTCTTTCAAATTTCATGTTTTCGTCGTTCAATGCCAGACACAATTTCACAGGGTTGTGCTACGGGAGACTCAAATCGGCCCATAGCAACACGTGATCGGACGGCTCGTCCTGTGTGAGATATTCAACGAGAAATGTGTCATTATTCCTATTCATAAATTCGCGATTCATTTTAAGATCTGCTCTTCATGACTGTTGCTGATGATTCAATTCCTTCTGTTTACTTACCTGGTTGGGGAAGGGGCATGGCATCTTCAACGCCTCGTCCTTGGACTGAAGCTTGATTGCGTCCTCGACCTTCCATTCCGGCGACACAAATATGTAATCCAACGGGGCGCAAAACCGCTCGCCAGACTCCTGTGTGCCAGAATAAATGAGCTTTTGGTATTTTATTGCCACCGCCCCCCAAGGCTCCCGGGGCTTCACGCAATCTCCACGCCCTACCCTGTCCGCGTAAGAATAGCAGGTAAAGTCCGGCTCCTTGCCCCACTTGACCCTCAAGGCAGAGCGAAGAGGTTGGTCGACGTGCGGAAGCCATGGGTCACTCGGAGGCAGTGGGGGATAGTGAGGATGGGCGGCTTCAATATCTCCCTCTGTAATAATTCGATACTGCGGCCAGGAAGGCTGGAAATTGAAGTCACCCTGTAGCATTCACATGCGACGTGAGAAAACAGAGGCCCTGCGGATCGCGGCAGGTGATCATGACCTATCACTCCATATTCCTCTGCCGATGGAACTTACCGCCACGATGTGGGGTTTCGACCCTGCCAGAGCCTGCATCCGCTGCACCAGCAGTGCGGCGTGCACTGTCATGATTGATGGTCGCCGAAACTCGCATGGCATGTGGTAGCACGCAACGAAGAAGTCCATGTCCTGCGGCGACGCTTGCTTGCTTCGGAGGTTGGCAACGATGACCACGTTGGACCGATCCCGCGCTGAGGCCAACACGTCCTCCTCGCGACCCGCCTGCAATCCCCAAATCTTTCGAAACGGGCGAAAGAGCCGGTGGGAGAAGGAGGAGAGGGGGCCGGGCGACGGTGCGGCAGGCCAGGGCTTGGCGTCGGCAAGGCGAGATATTTCAATGTCGACTGCCTCCAGGGTGCTTTGCGGCCAGGCCAATCCCACGCCCATGAAGCCACTCGAAGGCCGCCCGTACTCTGAGTGCACAAAGTGGTATCCAGCCCGCGAAAAAAAAACATGTAAATGGCCCGCCCAGGCCCTCGACACCTCTTGGAGCGCGATGACTGCTCCTTGCGCGATTTCGGGTTCGAGCTTCTCCAGGATCTTTTCCAGTCGCTCTTGTTCATTTAGATATATGGATGGGTGAGCCTGAAAAGAGATCGGAATACGGAGCAAGATTGAGAGTCACAGAGGGGGGTCGAAGACAACCTTTATTCAGCATTCCGGTCTTCTCCCGACATTGATTTTTAGCCATAGCGCGAGACGGCAAAGTAGAGATAAGAAGAAGAGAAATTGAAGAATACACACCGGTAAACTCTTTGGCGTCGAATAGCTTGGCGTCAGGATGTTGTACGTAACCATTCGGAGCTTCTTGGGCGGAGCAAAGGAAGACGAGGAGGTAGACGTGGACATGGTGAGAAGACCGACGACGCGACACGCTCGAGCACTTTGCCTGCCTCGACTCAAAAATGTTGTCAACATGAAAAGGAAGACGCAGCGCAAACGGCCAAGGCCTGACCAGAGTTTTGCGACTGGCCTTGGACGGGTTTGCTGTGGAGAGCAATACTTCACGGGCATCAAGCAAGAGATTGTCGCGCCAGCCGCATTTGATTCGCAAGTGGTCCTGCTGTGTCATTCAGAAATAGATGTGTATGACAGAATAGGAGACATAAAGAAGGTAAATGCGCGTTCCAGAGGGCTCTTGGGAAACAGGACGTGAGGTTTGTGTGAACGCAAGCTGGCGTTGCTCGGAATTCCGAGCAGGCAGCGCGGGCGCTGAACCCAACACGCTTGTTGTCATCGACGGGGAATTGTATCGCAAAACTAAGACAACTTTCCCACGACGGAAACGTGAGGAATTAAGAGTGGTTTTGCATTGATAAGTAGCATGCGAGTTTCTAATTTTTACACCTTCTGTAGACATGTATGTCTCGACTTGGTAGCCTACGGCAACTAGCCTGCTGCCCACCTGTCCTCACAGCCTCAGGGTGACGGAGGCGGGATAACCTTGGGGAAAGGTTTGCGAAACGGGACAGAAGCTGTGGTGCAAGGCTTACCAAGAATACTAATAGAGGCCGACTTAACAGGATCGGACGGGAAATTGGTGTGTGCTGGTTTACTGTTTCAACTGACCGGCAGACGTTCATCCCATTTCAACAGATTGTAATCGACGTCTCAATGTATGGTGCCTCGTTATGTTATGCTCGTGGTATGACCTGGCGGACAATAAACACGATCGCGCCCCAACAAACTACGAAAGCGGGGACCCTGTCAGTTCCAAGAAGGCGCTTAGATACTGCCTTGTATGCTTACCGACTATTCTCTGAGGCTCGATACAACTCTCAACGCCCTGATACGGCCACGCCTCAGTCCACGTTGCGGCATGCCACACTTTCGCTTTTGAACG